CAATTATATAAAAAATTTATTCAGAAAGCAAAACTATATACTCCACAATAATCTGAGAGCTCCTTTATTATTTCTACGATTTCTGCTTCTGATTTCAGACACATTTTCCGGATTCTTCAGTCTTTCATCATTTATCAAAAGAAGTTTCATGAATCATCTGTTTCCATCTTTAATAGAACATCTGCGACAAAGCCAATCACATACGGATCACTTTTACTCAGAAATCCAAAAGCAGGATTTCAGCATCTAAAACGTTATGTGTAAGGACAGAATATATGACGTGCCCTTCTCTCAATCAAATATTCCTACGTCCAAGAAATCCTTTCTCAGCCTCCATAACTTTTCAAACTCATTCACATCATGCTACTTATCCTTCATTCCAGTGTCGCGTTGGATCTGAAGTCCGCCAAAACCGGTTTCTATCAAAAACCAGAGTTTGAGCAAAACTGATTTCAGCATCAAACAGTTTTTCACGATTTCAGCAGCAGATCAGAAACTGCACTGCCAGAATGTACAACATACAAGAATTCCAATACATCTTCACGACAGATAGCAGTATAGATAGATTCCCAATAACCTCTCGAAGCCCTATATTTAGCTGAGTTCGAAATTCCACTTGACCTTTCCGACTAAATCGAACAAAAACATCGGTTTCCCTTGCAACCGAGATAAACTTCGAAGCTAATCCATACTGAACATATTCCTATATCGAATTCCAGTTCAACGCAACCGTAGAAATCTACTAAAATAAGAAAAAAACAATCTTTATAGGTACATCTAACATCGGAAGCATCCAATTCTGCAACAAACATAAAGGAGATTTCGCTCACTCTTCTAAATTTTTCAACCACTTCTAAGCATGCTATTACTCTTATTACCCTATATCAGATTTTTCGTATTTTTTCTCATGATCTTCACTAATCCTCCCTTCAAAAGGTGATTTTTGCAGGATGTCTTTGATGCTTTCTGTATTTTTCAGATTTCTCATGATCCCTGTTGCAGGGTACGCGGAAAATCATATGGAGTTTACTTTAGATGCGGGCGAGGATGTTAAGCTATAGAAAGTGCTCCGACAAGATCTGTTGGAAGTATGATTTCTCTTTTTTTTGTGTGATTTTGAGTAGGTGTTTTTTGGTGCTTGCATTCGGTTAGAGTGATTTCTATGGAAATGTAGTTGAATTGATGTCTGTAGTGTGCGCACTATTGATCAGAGTGGTTTAGGAATGTATTTTTTTTGTTCAGAATTACGGCCGTATACGGTCGGTCACGGTGTTGTTACGGTCGTTTACGATGCAGTGTTTGGTCGTTTCCTGTTTATGATACGGCCGTATGCGGTCGGACACGGGTTCGAGACAGTTGGTGTGCACTACCGTATACGACACGGTGATATACGGCCGTAATACGGCGCATACCAAAACGTTAAAATACGGCCCGTATGCGGTCGTAAATTCGGTGTATACGGCCGTATACATCATCGTAAACGGCCGTTTACGGCCGCATATAGTCGTCGTAATGCTCGACCTGGGGCGCGGTAAGAATACATCGAGGTGTTCCAAATTTTGAAATAACATCTTCTTTAAGAAATCTAACAACTGTACGAGTCGTATTATCGCGTACGGCGTTTGTAATAACAAATTTTGATAATATATCGGTAAGAGATAAAATATATTTATGTCCACGTTGAGTTGTTGGAGCAATAGGTCCATGATAATCCATAGCTACTAATTGCCAAACTGCATCGGGAGGTTGAATAGGTTTTAAGGTACGAGGAGTTTTTTGTCGACGATGATTAAATTGCGCACATAAAATGCATGATTTAACATAATTACCAATGTCTTTATACATTGAAGGCCAAAAATAACGTTGTTTCATTTTGTACATAGTTTTATCTCTTCCGAAATGAGCACCATTCGCTGCAGTATCGTGATAAATATTTAAAATTGTTTTTCGAAGGTCACCTTGTGGTACGTAAGGAACCGGAGGATTTGTACGACGCATTAAAAGATTATCATTTATAATATAATGTTTATAATTCTTGATATTATTCAAAATCTTTTTTGCATAATTATCATTTTGTTGAGCTTGTATTAACTGTTCGATTGAAATTGGAATTATTCGATTCTCTTTATTTAGAGTATCGGACGATAATATTGCTGTATCATTTTTATTATTTAAAGGTTGATTCCGTAATTTTTTTTTAATTACGGTGAATTTTATTCGTGACATCCATGCATTTTTTTGTGATTTTTGTACAATTTTTTGCGGACGCTTACGAAACAAGTCAACAGATAGGACTGCGATAACAAACAGAGAAAGAATGACAAGGAAGAGAAAACGAATAGAACGAAAATCGAAATCGAGGCAGCGATGACGCGGTTGGCGTGCATTGCTGTTCTTCCTTTTGTTTATTCTTCCGATACCGTATATCTTGACTCCGAAGACACCGAGCCGGGGGAAGGAATCGAACCATCTCCTATCTGACTAAGAGTCAGATGCATAGAACCACTAAGCCATCCCCGGCTATATATTTGTTTTAATGACATATAAATATCATATCATTTTTAGGACAATCGGGTGCTGGTAACAATTGGGCCAAAGGTCATTATACGGAAGGTGCCGAATTGGTAGATTCCGTATTGGATGTCGTACGAAAAGAAGCTGAAACGTGCGATTGTCTTCAAGGTTTTCAATTAACCCATTCGCTCGGCGGTGGCACTGGTTCTGGTATGGGTACATTACTTATCGCAAAGATTCGAGAGGAGTATCCAGATCGTAAGTTTATTCATTAGAGTGACACTGAAACTTTCATCTTTCCCATTACCTTTTAGGAATCATGATGACATTCAGTGTTGTACCATCACCGAAAGTATCTGATACAGTTGTTGAACCTTACAATGCAACTTTATCCATACATCAACTTGTCGAAAATACAGATGAAACATATTGTATTGACAATGAAGCCTTGTATGATATTTGCTTTCGCACACTCAAACTTACCACACCTACATATGGTGATCTTAATCATCTCGTTTCGTCTACAATGTCAGGTGTAACGACATGTTTTCGATTTCCCGGTAAATTAATTTTTTCAAATCTGACAGTAATATAATTTAAAAAATATTGTAGGTCAACTTAATGCTGATCTTCGAAAATTGGCTGTTAATATGGTACCATTTCCACGTCTTCATTTTTTTATGCCAGGTTTTGCACCATTAACATCACGTGGTTCTCAGCAATATCGTGCATTGACTGTACCTGAGCTGACACAACAAATGTTTGATGCTAAAAACATGATGGCTGCATGCGATCCACGTCATGGACGATATTTAACAGTTGCTTGCATTTTTCGTGGTCGTATGTCAATGAAAGAAGTCGATGAACAAATGTTAAATGTTCAAAATAAAAATTCATCTTATTTTGTCGAATGGATTCCGAATAATATCAAAACAGCTGTGTGCGATATTCCTCCACGTGGACTCAAAATGTCGGCAACATTTATAGGTAAAGATTCAACAAAAATAGATTGTTTCAGCTTTTTTATAATATTATTTATTTTTTTGTTATATATTAGGTAATAGCACGGCAATTCAGGAGTTATTCAAACGTATTTCGGAGCAATTTACGGCTATGTTTCGTCGTAAAGCATTTCTTCATTGGTACACTGGTGAAGGCATGGACGAAATGGTGCGTTACATTTTAGTATTTGTTAGTTTTCATCTTTTTTGTTTTCAATTTCACAGGAATTTACTGAAGCTGAGTCAAATATGAACGATCTTGTCAGTGAATATCAGCAATATCAAGATGCCACTGCTGAAGGTTAGCATATTTATTGTTGTATTCTATTTATATCTTAACCATATTCTCTATTTTGTTGCAGAAGAGGGCGAAGGTGGTGAACAGGATGACGAAGAACACGCATAAATGGGAATAGCAATCAACATCCCAGATTTTGTTCCATGTTTTTCCATAACAATATTCAAAATATTCATGTTTCATTTTCGCTTCAATGCTATCTCCCTTTTTTGGTTCGTCATGCATACATGATGTTAGAACCGCCAATATGATTTTCTTCATAAAGTTTCGTTTGCATTCATAACTGTTAACTACAGTCCTGCATGATCACGATATTTGGTCATTGTCACGGTTACGGTTGCAGATGTTCACTTCTGTCTCCATTCCCAGAAAGGCGAGAATACATGGTTATTTGTCACAAAATGCAAGCAAAGGTATGTGCAAGTATCTTTACATGTTCGAAAACGTGTAGAAATCAATTGTCAAGTTAGCAACTCTGACAGCGCACATAAAGGTCCTAATTGAACAGCTTAAAATGCACACACAGTCTCAAATCTATAATATATGTGTTTTTTCACTTGTTACACAACAAGTATATTGAATTATGAATGGCACGGTGATCGAGTATTTGTTTCACTACTAAGTAAAGGCAAATTTGTGCGGCATCATAGTCGGCCTGGAGTGATCTATTTTGCAAAAATGATAATTTTTTAGGTCCAGTAATTTGATTCTATTACTTGTAAGTTTTATTATTTGTTTGTAAGTGAGTTCGATCTATTTCAATAGCAATAACCTCGTTTGGTTGGAAATTATAATTAGATCGGGCAAGAGAGAAGAACTAGAAGAAGAAGCAGAAGAATAGAACACCGAGAGAGTATACCAAAACACATGTATACAAAGAGTAGAAAGGAAAAATCTAACGAAATATGAAAATAAATCATAAGGGAAAAGCTATGAAATGTATCAACAGACTCACAATAACTTATCACGGGACGCGTGTGGGTATTATTCTTGTATTTATACCTATACCCTGGCATCTGAAAAATGCGACATCATGTCTTAGTATCGAGTGGCGCACGTCATAGATATCTTGATGTTTCCTATTCTATTCTTTTACAACACAGTTTTACTTCCAGTATTTTGTAGGTATATAAATATATGTATACCCTTTGAGTCAGTCAGTAACTTTAGAAGTCTCAGCTGTTGGATGATATTTAGAAGACGTTTTTTCATATGTTGGTAGTTTTCATTGAAAATTCTCATGATGTCGATTTTTCTAGTATGATTTCGTTACGAATGAAATTTCTTTTTATAAATGAAAAATTTTTGAAAATTTTATTACGAGAATTAATATCATACTTCGTACTTTTATATTGCAACATAGGCGATTTATATAGTGAATTTTATTCGTATAAGTAATGTAATGTTGTATTGCTTAAGATCGATTGTAAGAAAATTCAGCTTATTTAGTGAAACGTATTGCCTAAAAGCGTATCGCGTTATAGCTCTACTTTCGCTAGTATTTTGTTTCTATTTTTATGTCGGAGTATTAGATAATAGTTAGCGGGTTAAATCATAAATTTCTTCAACAACTTATCTTGGTAGATCATTCAAGTAAATGTTTCAAGCAGATCAAAAGTCTTTGAATACTATGGGTAGAATCATAGTAGCAAAATCGCTTCTTAATTAGTACAATGACAATTAGTTTGACACTAGGGTATTTTTCATATGCCAGTTCCAAGTAGTGAGACTACGTACGTTATTTCAGTTGATGTGTAGTGCATCGATCTCATTAGATAATGCAAATATTAACCTCATAAAAAGCTCGTTACGTAGCATTTTTTGACAATTTGAAACCTTAGCGCTGAAAATTATAGCAAGGAGAAGAAGATGATTGAATTAAAATGTCAATCATGCCTGCATTTCATAGTGAATTAATTAAACTTTAACAAAGAATACTTCAGAAATAGCAAGAACGGAAAAAAGAAGAAAACAGATATCTGATGATTATGTGTACATCTTCTAATTAGGATTTTGTATTGAAATAACAAATGTTGCACTGATATTAGTGACGATTATTTACGATATCATTTTTATTGTTACGTTTGTTACGAGTTGAAACGAATGCAACAGTTAAAGTTTCGAGCAAGAATATTTTACAGTCTTCATAGGACTTATTGTTTCAATTGTTTACATAAAAACTCGTTCTTATTTATTTAAGTTGTAAATCTAAGAAATCCTTCATCGTCCTTATCGGAGTTTCAGCACTTTACTGCTTTGTGTTCACATATGTAGAAATCTTCATTTCTTTTACTTTTCTTTTATTACTTTCTGAAGCAAACCAATACAATTTATTATGCTGTGACGGACTGTCAGCAAGCAGTACACTGTTGCAGAAAACTCAATTGATCGTGACATAATGGATGCGACGGAGAATAACAATGAACGCTTGGACATGGTTCCCACGCCGTTGTAGATACCGGAAATGTTTCTTCGTAGTCACGAAGAGTTTTCGACTTTATTAGATAAATTCAATAAAGTCTAGGAACTATTCACTACACAGGAACCGTATGATTCGAATTCAATATCAACGAGTAGGCTACTCTCGCTTTGTTCTAACGTTTTACCTCAAGATTCTTAAGTTGGATTGAAGTGTAGACAGTGGACTCAGCTTGAATTTATATCAGTTTCTTTCGATACATATATCAAAAAACACTGTACAATTCCAATACTAGACAGCTTTTATCGTCACTGTCTACAGGAGTTCCGTAAAAATCATAGCAACAGTATTTTGTGTTTATATTGCTTAATAGAAATTGTTTAGATCACTCATGCTGCAAAATAGCAACGATTGTCGTATCAGCATGGAAAAATCATCGCACACTTATCTGTCATCCACGCATGTATTTTGGAATGAATGTCTTCAAAAATGGTAGGTCACTTGAAATATCATAAAGAGATATATATTTTTGGATATTTTTCAGCATCTGCATGCCAAATATGTTATGTGAATACCATGGATGATAGTGGCTTCGTTCTTACTGAAAAGCCGAAATATAATGAAGTCAAAAATACGATTATTAAATCTATTTTGGAACTGCCCACTAATTATAACACAATTTGATATATTCTTGAAGATCGAACAGTCAAAGGACACCTTGAACGTATTATAGCTTATTAATGTAAAAAATTGCAACTTTAATTTA